GGAGATCGATGCCTCCATGCTGGAGGTGGCCACACGCTGGTTCGGCTTCTCCCAGGGTGACCGGATGCGGGTGCACATCTCCGATGGCCTGGACTATGTGGCCAAGCTGGCGGCTGAAGGTACAATCTCATGGAGCATCCTGGGCACTCCATCGAGTCCAGTGGGTGACATGCTGGGGACTGGACTCCTGGGCTGCTTTCACCCTATGCTTCCTGTCCCTGCCCATCTCCTGCCATGTGCCACAAGCTTCACCAGGTCCTGAAGCTCACAGGTCTGTCATTGCCAACGTGTGCAGGGGACCTTAGATTTGGTGCCTCCCCCAGCGCCAAGGGCTGCTGCTGTGGGTTTAGTTTGGAAAGAGAAGCCCAAGGAGAGAGAAGTGGCCGAAGGGGTGTCTGGACCACCCCATTTGTTGCCTCCCCACCCTGTGTTGTTTATCTGTCCCAAGGGGTAACAACTCTCTGCGCTCCCTCCTGCAGCCCCAGCCCAGTATGATGCCATCATGTTCGATGTGGACAGCAAAGACCTCACGGTGGGGATGAGCTGCCCACCCCCAGCCTTTGTGGAAAAGCCCTTTCTGCAGAAAGTTAAAACCATCCTCAAGCCAGAAGGTAGGAGGGGAGATCTGGCTGTGTCCCTGCGTCCAGGCCAGATGGTCTTGTGTGGGGTTTGACTAAGGGGGCTGTGCTACCATTTCTCATCCTGGAGAATAGTGGCTACGGCCAGGATTGATGCGTGGGATCCGCTGCTCCTGGTGGGTCCTGGATCCGGGTGTTTCAGCGGGTATTGTGACAGCAGGGAGCAGGTGGCCTGTGGCGCTGCTGGGTCAGGCAGGCTGAGACATCCCAGGGGGCCGAGAAAGGCTGCGGGAAGGCAGAGGGTGTAGGCGGTACCTGGGAACAGATTGTGTGGCCGCCCATGACCCATGTGGTGGCGGGGACTTGGAGCTGGGCCAAGGGCACTGGGGGAATGCCAGTACTCCTTGTGCTGCCGTGGGGGAGATGTTTGCACCAGGGTGGCACCGATTCATCTGCATTCCCGTGGGGAGGCAGGGAGCAGGGCGGTATATGCGGGCTGGTCTGAACTCCCATCCCTCTCGCCCTGCTGCAGGAGTCTTCGTGCTCAACTTGGTGTGCCGTGATGCCCAGCTGAAGGAATCTGTCCTGGCCACCCTCAGGGAGGTCTTTCCGCTGCTCTATGTGCGCCACATTGAAGGGGAAGTCAACGAGATCCTGTTCTGCCAGCCCAGCCCCAAGGGCCGGCGGGACCCCACAGAGCTGGGGGCACGTGCCCGGGTGCTGGAGGGGGTCCTGCGGGAGCCTGGACGCCCTTGGGACAACTCGTATGTGCTGGCAGACATGCTGCAGGCTGTCAAGATCCTCTGAGAGGGGCCTTGATGCTGCTTGAATGAGAGGTGTACCTGTGTGGGTGCTGCAGCTCTGCAGTGGAGAGGTGCCTGTGGCTGGGACTGCAGCCCTTGGTGGGCTGGTGGTGGCCTGAGTCTGCCTGAAGGACGGGACTGGTGTGGAGAGGCGCTCCCTGCAGCATGGCTCCCCAGGAAGGGGTCTGGGACCATGGGAGGCTCTGCAGCCCAAGGGGCAGTGTTGGGGTGGTGAGGGGAAAAAGTTGCTGTGGGACTGGAAGGACTCTGGGTTTGGGTCTGTCCCTGTTGCTTTCCTATTGTGGGAAAAACACCACTCTGACCATCCCCTCCATCTCTAGCACAGCTTGTTCCCTCTGATGCTGCCTCTTCTTGCATCTCCAGCATCCCTGGTCACTGGTGTCTGTGCAGAGTCCCAGCTCTGCCCCAGGCCTGGTTGTGGATTTGTGTGGGTGGGCCGAGAGCTGTGAAAATAAAGTGCTCAGGGCTGCTCAGAGGCCTGCAGTGCTTTGGTAGGCTTATTTCTGGAGCACCTAGCACCCCCAGAAAAGGTACCGTCACTTCTATTCCTCAAGGGCAACTCCTGGGGGCAGCCAGCTGCCCCTTGTACCCCACTGCCCCCTCCACACTCAGCTTCCCTAAACAGCCCTACCATGTGCCTGCCCCACTTCTACCTCTCCAGCCATTGCCACTGTGACCTGTAACCCCCTGGGCCCCCAACCCTTCTCTCCCTGGGCCAGCAGGGACCCAGCCCTGTGCTCAGGCACCTGGGCACACCAACCTGCTTGCCCAGCTGGTGCAGGTCAGCCTTCCTGCAGGATGAAAAGGCAGCACTCCATTCCTGCCCAGGCAGCTCATTTTGTCTCTCCTGAGGGTTTCAAAGCTTGGTCTCTCCCTGCAAGGTTTAGCTGAAGAGCTGACCCTTATGTCCTGGCTGGTTACAGAGCAGCTGACCCACTCGTGCTCCCACATTCATCAGGAGTCCTATTTGGAGGGCTTGTCTTTTTTTCCCCTGCAACAGCTAGTACCAAAACTTGCCTGAGACATGGTACCAAAGTGACCAGCTTGCTGACATCGAGGTGAGAACCTGCTCGGGCACCATGGTGCTTTGCCACTGATCCTGCATCCTCACTCCATGCTGTCTTCTGCTGCTGGCACCCTGAGCGAGGACATCTTTCTGGTAGCTGCTTCCCAAATCAAACCCTCCCCAGCCACCTTTCCACAGCCCAGGGTGGTAACAACACACCAGCAGCAGCTCTGTGAGAGATCTGACCTAGCCATTGGCGTGGAGGCAACAGCAGCCGCATCTCAGCATCGCCGCCAGAGTTGTCTTGCCAGCTTTGCAGCTTATGCATCCTATCCCACCAGGGTGTTGGTGGGCTGCTGCTCATCAGCCTCTCCTTCCTCCGCAGGAGCCAGCTCTCCACCTGTGGGAAATCCTCCTCTGTTTGGAAAGCCAAGTGAGAGGGTGCGAGAGCCCAACGGTTTGCAGATCCCCAGCCCTGTGGGGGCCATGGAAAGGGCACCCCAAGGGCTCTCACCCCCTGAACTGGTGGGGACTGACCACTGCGCCGATGCAGGAGATGGCTCTTTGTGCCCCGGAGGCACTATGGCAGCCGTGCCAACAACAAGCACGTCCCTCCGATCAGCAACTGTGGCTATATTTTAATTAATTTTAATTTGCCATCAGGTTCTGCTTTGGAAACTGCTCTGTTCAGATCCCTTCTCTGATGCTCCCTGCCTTATTCTCCTTCATAGGGACAAATCAGTGCCCTACTTTCTCCCTGGGCTGGCCTGCTTCTGTGCAGAGGGACCAGATGCTTTTTTTTTAAATAAGTGCTTTTGATGGTTCCCAGGCGCTGGAGAGCAGGGCTGGCCTGCTCCCTGCCTCAGATAAAGGACAGCAGCCTGGGCACGTGCCCTCCGTGCGTTGCTCACCACCCACTCCTCTGCGCTGTAGTGTGTTTGGGGCAGTGGTTGCTGGTTAACAGGAAAGACAAGGCTGGAGCTTGAGCTGGGTAGGAGTCTGCCTGCCCCCATGCAGTTGGTTTCTAAAGCTCCTCTGTGATGAGCACTTTTTTGAAAGATGTTCATTATCCATCTCGCTTAGTGATGGCAAATTTCTCAACTGGATCAGCAGCGCTGCACTTAGTCTATTTTTAACTTTTAACTTTTTAACTTTCCAATTCTTAACATAATTCCAGTGACATATGTTTGTGCCTGTGCCCTTTATTTTATCGAAACCATCTCCTTTCTTCCCCAGAAGCTCATACAAAGGCTGCGTTCATCCCTCCCTTGTCCAGTTCTGCCTTTCTGTTGTGCTTCCTAATCACTGTGTAACGCCACATCCTGGTGGAAAAACAAAAGCCATCTATTAGAAACAGCATAAGGATGAAATCTCAGTTCATTGCAGCTGTCCTTGCAGCTACTGACAGCCCTGCAAGTTTGGTCTGAAAATACATTTCAGCTGGAAAATTGGCAAATTCATGAGTGCAAATACCTGAAATCCTCCACTGCAGGTAAAATGCTCCAAGACTTGAATAATAGATGTGTAGTAAATATTTCTCTCCTGGCAGCCAAAACAGGCAGCTAACGTATATGTTTGGCAACTGTGTTACTGTTGAGTGTTTTGGCAATATACTCGTGTTTACATCCCTTACTCCTCACTTCCTTCCTTTGCAGCGTAGGCACGCTGTAAGCAGTGGAATAGAAACAAGCACTGCTGTCACTTAGCAACCTCCACTGGCTTTGAGATGTTGACTTCTTTCCTTTCTGGATTTCCCAGCACAAAAAGAGACAGCCACGTACCTCATCGCATAGCTCAGGCATGAGGCTGTAGCCAGCTGGAGATGCTTTGGTCTGGTCCAGCTCTAGTCCCTCTCGGAGCATTGCATCTGTCTCCCACTGCTGCTCCAGCAGGTGAGGCACTGGGAGCTGATGGGTCAGCCCTGGTTTTCATGGTCTTGGGTGGAGGGCTGCAGCTGGTCATGCCCAGCTGTGGAGGCTTTTTGGCCCAGGGTCACTCTGTGGCCAGGCAGTTGGCAGGATGGTGACGCTATGAGGCAGGCGGTGGTGGGGTACCACACATATACCCCATATGGTATAACCACCTCAGGTGTCACAGCCCAGACCCCTGCTCTGCAGAAGGACTAGAAGTGTCTGGGCTCTTGGGAAGAGGGTAGAGGTGGATGTGGGACAGACTGTCACCGGTTGAATGTCTGTCAAGCAGCTGGGAGAGATTTTTGCAGTAATGAAACCTGCAGGGATTGAGTACTGAGGCAGTTCCCTCCAGCTGGGAAGAGCTCTGCTGGGGTGACCTGGCCCCACTGCTTGGGGATGTTGCCGCTGCCTGGGCATGGGAGGGTCACAGCAGAGCAAGGGATGCGACAGCCATGTCCCAGAGGATGGAAGTGCCTGGGAAATGTTTTGTCCATGAAATCTTCTCTTGAGGAAGCACTTGGCTTGCCTGGCTTTGTGACCAAGGAAGCAGGCGTGCTGCCAGGCTGCATTGAGGGAGTATCGTTCTTTCCTGGAGTGGTCAGGGCCACAGGGAAACACCTCTGCGGGTTGCAATCCAGCTTAGTGGCCTTTTTCTACCCTGCAACTGGACGCACCCAACTAAAGGATGCAGCTGGAGGTCACAGGGCAGGAGAGAGTCCACCACGCTGGATGGGACAGAAATTGGGGTGTCACTGTCTTGTGATCAGTGAGTCAGCAGTGCCATGGGCTGTAGGGGAGACACAGAAAGTGCCTCCTTTTTACAGGGGGAAATGCTGCAGTCGGTACTTCTACTTGCAGCTCTGCAGCCGCTCTGGCTTTCTTTCACTGGCTTTAATTCTATCTTTTGCAGCTTCAGGTCTGAGCTTTCCTCCTGGCAGATAGGCAGGCATAATGCTGACTGGCACCTTCATGCCAGCACTGCGGAGCCAGGTGCTGCTGAGAACCTGGGAGCTCCCCCGTGCACGGGGCTCTTTGCCCACACCTCCTCCTGCTTCGTGCCGATCAGCTGACTGCAAAGCTCTGCAAGACTCTAGGTTTGCATCCGAAGCAAGAAGGAGGTGAGGAAGGTCCCTGGAGAGAAGATGGTCATGTGTGAAGGAGCCTGCCTCTTCTAAATGCTTCCTGTGGGAAGGACACAACCTTGTCTGTGCTCTGCTTCCCCCGGGGTCCTCCCTGCTGTCCTGGCAGGAGAGCGTGCCTGGCTCTTCACTGCAGGCATCTGCAAATCTCCTCTCTGGCAGTTTACTTATAACCCATTTTTCGTGAAGGTAATTGCACTGGTGTGTGCTTATAAAGCAGCCTGGGGACCTGATCCAAATGTCCTCAGTTTTAACATCACTCTGCCTGGTTAGGAAGAAGTGTCTATGGGTGAGTTTGTGGGCTCAAATGCTACAGCTGCACCCAGAAGCCAGACTGTTTTTGCCATATGTTTTTCTGGAAGTCAGGGCAGGACGAACTTGCTGTCTGCAGGCTTGAACTGAAGTGCACTGGAGGCTTCAGCAGGGCTGGGGGCCCCAGGCAGGCTATGCTGGAGCTGGTGACATCTGGAAGTGAGCAGACTGCACTGACAGAGCCGGCGGGGCCGGCGTACCACCATGGGGAGCAGGGCACCCTTCCTGCCGTGCCGGGGGGAGGTGGTCGGCGAAGGTCTTCTCTCCTTGGCGAGCCTGTCACGTGGCAAAAGGAAATGATAAATACCATGGAGCACAACTGAGTGCAGGGTAAAAATAGAGCATATTTAGCTGGCTAACCAGTGAGCAAACACAGCTCTGTGCTCCTGGTGCTCCCCAGCAAAACAGTTTCTTGCATGGCCCTCTGATGCTGGTTTGGGTCTTTTTTTTTTTTTTTTTAATTCAGGGTTACTCATTACAAGGAGCTTTGCAATGGTCTGTGCTAGTACTACCCCTCTTTCTTTTAATTTAGCCACTCTGCATCTTGACAAATTCAGAAAGCCAGGCTGGGCTCAGCGTGAGGGTTTGGAACAAGGTGACTGGAGAAGTCAGT